TTGTCTCCTGTTTTGGGTTTTGTTTTGCTTATTTTCTGATTTCTAGAACTGAATACACCTCATTTATTTTCATTCTTTTTTGTTTAATAATAAATAATACTATTGTGATCAGAAAATGTGGCCTGTACAATTTCAACTTCTTGGAATTAATATAGCATTCTTTAACGTCTTAATGTGTTTGTTTCTTTTTGTATTTTAAACAAGTTTTGGTTAATATATCTCAATAAGATGCTAGTCTACACAAAATATTATAAGGTGAACTTCTTTTTCACCAGGTGACAAACATCTTTAAATGTTGTATAAGCTTTAACAAATTTTGCTTTGTTTAGTTATGAATAAATAGGAGTTTAATACTTTTAATCAGGTTTTTTGATAGGGGTTTATTCTATTTACATTTGTTGTTTTGTTTTTAGCTAGTTTTAGATAGTTGCTCTTCTGTGATCTTAATTTATCAAAATTGCTTTTTATATTTTCTACTTTTTCCCTTTTTTCTTATTTGGGATAGTATTTATAATTTATTTCCTGGCTTCTCTAGTGTTTGGGATTATCTCTGGGTTTTTCAAAGGCATTATTTGATCTAATTGTTATTTGTTAGAATCAAGTGTGAATATTTTGTATTCTACCATCTTGAGTTTCCTACTTCTTACTTTTTGTTAATATGTTCTAATTTGTCAAACCAAAGTTTACTAGTTTTTAAAAAACATACTTTCAAACATTTTAAACTTATTTGTCCACGATATTTTCTGAGCCCTTGCACACTTGAGAATGTCTTTGCTTACTATGGCCTGCATGCATGAAGACAGTGTAGCTAGGTATAAAATTCCTGGGTCACATACTTTCTCCCTTCAAGAGCTACAGGTATTGCTTCATTGTAATATGGCCCACTACTTCTCATTGTTGATTTTTATCTTTAATTTTTTATCTTTACATTTCATAATATTTCAAAGACATGTCTGAGTTGTTTTTTTCTGAGCCCTTTAAGGCCTTGTTCATATGTAGGTCTGTCTTTAACTTAGGAATCCTGTCTTTGAGTTTTATTTCTATTCCCTTTGGTCTCTGTTGCAGTTATCTCTCAACCATGTGTCACTGCTCCATTTTCTCTCTTACGACCTTAGTTTTCTCTCTCTCATAGTTTCCATTTCTCTATCCTTTTCCTCTTTCATGAACGTTTCCTCAATTCTCTGTGTTTCTGAATTCTGTTTTTTTTTATGCTTTTATTTCTGTTTATTGCTTCCAAAGTGGATTTTAATTACTCTGAATTTTTAGGTTTTGCTTTTGGTTCTATTTTTCCAACTCTTCTCTTTTTATATTATCATATGACATTTTTAGGTCAACTAAGTTTCTTGTATGGCTTTTCATTGAGGTTGTCCTTTTAGAATTACTTTAGTCTGCTATTCTATTCAGTAACATCTCTGGCTGTTTTTAAGCTACAGCAAAAGAGTTTGGATAATTGTGATAGAGACAGTATGGTCTTCAGAGCCTGAAATACTTATCATTTAGCCATTTGCAAAAACATGTACAAATCACTGTACTAATGTGATAGCTGGATTCCCATCTCTGTTCCAAACTGAATAGCAGGGGAATGTAGGCAGCTTCATCTCAATTCCTAGCTCCTACCAACCTTTTCCTTTGGTTCATTTCTACTGTGTAGAGGTGATAATCTAGTTCTACTGCCTGATTTTTTTCATTCTCAATCATTGATTAAGACAAAAATACAAGTGCAGATACTAGCTATAAACACTGTTTCCCCTAGGTCCCTGCCCTTCCTTAAGTTTCCTTTATCAGAAGGAGGAAACCACCATCTCTGTCCTACCTACTTCCTGCCTATATATTATCTGGTTGTTGTCTCTCTATTATCTTCTTTTTCAACATCTTTCTGTTCATCTGACAAAGAACTGTGTCCTGAGGTAAAAACCTGGACAGGTTTTGCTAGTTCTACTGCCATCTGCCTTTAATTAGTAGAGATTGCTCCCAGATTCCAACATTGGGTCATCTATCAGCTTAGTTTTTGGCATTAGTGTGAATTTGCATTTTTTTCATTGTCTTTATAGCTATTTTGGAACAAAACAAGGAGGGGCTGTGTAGGTGGCTGCCAAGCAGATGCCATTTTGAAGGAATCAAAGCTGAATGCTAAAGTTGCGGTTTGTTCATCCCGATGCATTCTCTGTAAGCTTTGTGTGTTTGGTGAAGAAAGAAAATGTAGGAACAGCTCCCTTATCCAGGCATCACAGTTCTTTGAAATACAACCGATAGACTCCAGAGCAGTCAGGTAGCTGCCCGTGTCTGAGTCTGGAGGGTCATTCCTTTTACCCATGGGGGATTATATCCGTCTCTCATTCTAGGACCATTCACCTATGTTTTCCATACAATTTTAATAAGCTTGATCTTTCTGTTTTCCTAGATTACAGCTAAATTAGAATGAACAAATCTGAAGGGAGCAGGGGGCATTTTACAACAAGCGCATTGACTTGACAGGAGTTTGTGGCTTACAGAGAAGGAAAGGCACAGGACCGACACACAGCAGAGCAAATGCAACTCCAAGCACTCAGAGGCAGGCACCATTTTCTGGGAGGGCAAAACCACTTGAGCTCCTCTATGTGAGCATTCTCTGCTTTGAGTTAGCAACTACCTATCTGGGCCTTTCCTTTGCTGAGCTGAAGGTAAGCAAGACTCTGCAAGTCTTGCTTACAGAGAACCTGTCTCTGTCTTCCTAAATTTGGTTGGGAGTGGTGCTACCCTGACTGCATTTTTGAATCACCTGGAGAACTTCAAAATGTGGACATGCAGACTGCCCCCCTGCACCAGTGAAATCAGAACCTCTTGGGGGTAGGACCTAGACGTCAGTGTTTTTTTAAAGTGGCTGAACAATCGGGTTACGGGAATCTGAATTCAGCAGCCAGGCCATCTCATCGGTGAGATGGGGCTCACTGCTGCACCTTGTTAGTGCCATGTGAGTGGCTGCTACCGCTGTGGGGGCAGACCCTTGATAGGCGTGGGGACAACTGTGATTTGTCAAGGAGCGTCTGGAGCACCATCTAATTAGACAGTGATGAATACCATGCTTTCTAGGGTGATTTCTCTCCCAGGTGGATGCTTGGCTCTGAAAAGAAGAGCTGTAGATGGGGAGGACAGGGAGGAAGTGAGAGACAGAGATACAGGGGTGGGGTGTTGCAGTACTTGGCTGCAGTCTCTTCCCAGGTTGGAGCCTGCTTGGGGCAGGCACTCTGGAACCTTCCTGAGCCCAGTCTGTAGGGTGGGATTCACAATCCTTCCCTCATGGGCTCAGAAGAGCTGAGGTTCTACTAGGTGCTTCTACCCCAAGCTCTCTTCCTCAGGGCTGACACAGGATTGTTTCTGCAGAGGAGGGAGGGTGTAGGTGACTGAGATACAATTTCTGACATGAGCTGGTGGCTTTTGTAAAAAATAACAAGAAAACGCAGAGAGTAGATTCAAGGCCATCCCTGGAATAATGTCACTGCACAGTTACCATTTCAACTCACTTCCCCAAGTGGGATTCCAGCCAGCTTGTTGGGGACTGTGGGACCTTACATACATCCTGGGTCTGGCCACAGCAGTGTCTTTGCTGAGGACATCATCTGTCCTCGAGCTGGCAGAGACGAGACGAGAGCATCTGTTCTCGCTGGTGAAGCGCAGAGTGATGATGGGATGCCATTGCCATTGGTCTGTTTTGGGGCCACCATCGTCTTGTATCTTGGTCTCTCTGGCTTGGCCCTGGTAGGATGCAGACCACTCTGGGTGACCACATCCGTGCATCAAAAGCATCCCCATGCCAGCAACCCACCAGCCCTCAACTGGCCAGCCTGCCCCAGAAGGGACTGGCACTGTGGTGGGGTGCCCCCCATCAGGGCATCAGACAAAGGGCTCAGGCTACAGGGGAGCAGAAAAGGGGGCTGATTTTTCTCCCATTTCCGGAGACTGCTTTCTCCCTGGGGCCCTAAGAAGCTGACCCAGAAGGCAGCAGGTGGTTGTCAGTCCCAGGGCAGCATGATGGAGCTGTTGTGCCTTTAACTGAGGGACAGTCAGTGTATCCGGAACCTCAAAGGAGACAGCCACCTGTCATGGGGGCAGAGGCTGACTGGGGCTGAACTCTGACTAGTTCCTGCACAGCAAAGCTCTGGTGGGAGGACCTGGAGGTGGCACTGGCAGGCCTAACTGCCTGCTTGGACTGCCCCGTGTTCCCACGCCAGCCACTCCAAACTCCCACCTTGGGCTTGGTTTTCCTGTCAGGTTGAGGGGCTGGTCCGTGTGTGTGCGCACGCATATGTGTGCTTCCCTTTCAGCTTTCCGCCCCCCCTTACTCCACCCTATGGGACACGCAGCCAACGCATTTCCCCAGCCCTTGCCATTGCTGCTCCTTGAGCAGGCTGGGGACCCCAGCCCCCAGGCCAGCCTGGAAGCCCCGCTGCTCAGCAGTAGAGCCCATTAGAACTGAACTCTTCTTCGTGGGGCATTTTATTTGCACACTCCAGTGGAGTGGACACCAAAGGGGTTTTCTAATGCTTCATGGGCTGCTAATTTCCTCTGTGACCTCTTTTGTTGGGACCTGACCCCAGCCAGAGGCTCCGCGCCATGAAAGCCAGCGCCTGACACAGACCCGGGGCGCGGGGTGACAATGAGGCCTCTATCGGCTTTAATCAGGCTCCAGTTGTGTCTTAAGAACGGGGAATTTGTGTGGTGCTCAGAAGCCCTGGGTGGCACAATACAGAGCCCCCAGAGTCCCTCACGGAGGCCAAGGGGGCTGCAGGCAGCGGCTCAAGGATTCGTCAGTCGGGGGGTGGGGGTGCGGGGGGGGTCAGGCGGGGGTCCTTTGTCCAAGCGCCTCTTTAGAAGGCCAGCCCTGCCCTGAATGGCTGGCTGCTCGGCCTGGCCCATGGGTATCACAGACCTCTGGGTATTTAGGGAGGTGGCCTCCCGCTCGCCCGCCAGCCTATTCATCGCCCGCCTAATTAGGTTTTGTCTGTGCTCTCCCCTCCCTGCAGACTGCGATTCCTACTGCAAGGCCTCCAAAGGGAAGCTGAAGATTAACATGAAAAAGTACTGCAAGAAGGACTATGGTGAGTGAGTCCCCTTGTTGGGGGCAGAGTGAGGAGCTTGGGCTGGGCTGTCGATGGCCATGGGTGGGTGTCAGTCAGGAACCTCTGCGACGGGCCAGGGGCCGTGGGATTCAACAGGAGAGCGAGCCGGTGCTTGGGAATTTCTCATCGCTGCCACCTTGACCCTTGGAGGCAGAGGTCCTGGGGGCTGTATGGGCTGTTTACCCTCTTACCCTACAGGGAGGCACCCAGCCTGTGGGGTGCCTCAGACTGGAATTTGCAGACTGGCCTCTGGCCTTCATTGTGCCCTGAGGGCCTGTGTGACCCTAGGCCAGCTACTTTACCTCTCTGGTCTCCTGTGCTCTTATTCGTACCATGACATATAACCTGAGCCTTTTGGTCAGAGTGAGGTCCTCCAAGCATCAGGAGAGGGCCTTCCTGAAGCTTCTTTATTTTCTTCCAAGAGTTAACTCTACAAGGCTGAGAGGGGTCAGCAGTCTGCCTTTTAAATGTCTCCGTGGTAGTTTGATGAAGCTGAAGTTCGAATGTAGCCAAGAGGCGCTCGTCGCAAGTTTTTCAGCCGGGACCTGTGTAACTGACCTCCCTGCGGGTCCTGTTGCCTAAGCCCTCAGACCCCCTTCATTGGGAAGGGGGGTGACCCGTTGCTCCCACTCCTCCCTGGCACTGGGGGGCGGTGGTCTTGCGGCCCACTCTCCTTCCTGCCTTCCTAAGCACTTGCTGAGAGGGTTGTGCCAGCCTACCCTTTGGGAGGAGGCAAGGAGCCGACTTTGTGGTTTCTGGTCTGGAGAGCCCTGTGCTGGCCAGGGGCTGGGCTGGCCTGACATTAGGCAATGCAGCGTCAAGGCTGATGGTAGGCATGGAGGATGCCCTCAGAGGGGTCCCTAGTGGCCCATGGTCAGGTGTGCGCACATTGCTGAGGTGGTAATTCAAAGCAAGAGAGCAAGAAGTCCCAGTGGGATGTTCCAGCTGTCTGCTGGCAGAGCTGGGATATGGAAATCAGAGTGTCCCAGTGGGCAGTAGCAGCCCCTGTCACCCCGCCAGGAAGTAGCCTCAGCCTGGACACAGGTCCAGGAGGCCCTGTGTCCAGGCCTGAATCTTTTCTGCCGTTGGGCACGCCTCCTGACCTGGATCTGGCTGATTTGGGTTGGAGCTGGGCCTTTTCTCCTGGCCCTGGACTGTCCACTCAGCCCTCCCTGCCGCCTGTCTCTTGCCTGCCTTGCTGGTCCACTCTGTAACTAGCCCCTGGAGGAGATTGCCAATCAAGGACATGGTAACCCAGTGCCACCCAGCTTCCTCAGGGAGATTAGGTAATCTCCCATTTCTGTCCACTTTCCACATCTCCCTGCATCCTGCTGCTCCTCAGGACCTGCAGTGGGTCCACTCAGTCACTTCTCTGAGCCTCCGTGTCCTTGTCTGTAACATGGAGATGATGTACCTGCTCTGCGCATTTATGGTAGCACCCAGCATAGGGCTAGGGGCCTACTCGGTTTCCATAAAAGTGACCTCTAGGATTCCACAGGCAGCTGGGTGGGAGGAGAGGAAGGAAGAAATAGAGATGGATGAGGCAGGTGAGAAGGGAAGTGGCGGCCTCATGTCCAGAACCTGTACTCCTCCACCCTGACCCAGGGGTCTGGCCGCCTTGCTGGGAATTCAGGCCTCCTGGAGATCTTAACTGCTGTAGGAGCCAGACGAAAGGATTTTTCTTTACCGAGGACAATGGATGGGATATTTAAGCATGATGTCTCATCCGATGCGTGTGAGTGCGTGCATACACGTGTGCCCACTGAGGCTGAGCACACAGGCCCAACCACCTCCCGGGGGAAAGCCGGAGCCACTGGCAGGGTTTGCATTTGTCAGTTCAGAAGTGGCCAGGCAGTGGGATTCCCCCTGACAGACCCCTCTGGTGTCCCCAGTCAGTTCCTAAAAGCTCCTTACAATGTTTGCGCCGTAGGAACCTGACTCCCTGAGAAAACAAACTCTGACTTTGAATCTGAACTTGGAGGTGATCTCTAAGCCAGAGTGGGAAAGGGATGCCCCGGGTTGTTTTGGGTGAGGCTGTGTGGCTCTGAGCATCAGGAAGCACTCCCTAAGCCTGTTGGGGCCCCAGGGGGTCCACTCTCCTATGGGATGAGGTCTTGGAGCCCAGCATCCCCAGACTCGGGTCCGCAGGCAGTGGGGAGAGCCCTGTGTGCCCCCTGCCCTCCAGCCTGCTGCCCAGACGGGGAGGCAGGGAGAAGGGAGAGGGGAGCCGCCTGGGGAAGGGCTGTTCTGATTTTCGTCTTGAAGCATCCTGTGAGTGGACACTGTGGACAGTGGCCAGAGGGAGTTGCTGAGTGGGCTTCTGGAGGTATTGACCCTATTCTGTTCAAGTGAAAAGAGGAAACTTGCACACTTTTGTTACCAAGAAGTAATCTTCTGACCTTTCCTCAATCGAAATATTGCTCCTTTACCCCTGATATCCAGAAGTCACTTTGGCACCCTCAAAGCTCTCCGGATGCTCCTTCCAACATGTGGGTCCATCTTGGCCGAAGGGGACCTGGTACCCTCTTGACAGATTCAGAGGCATCCCCCCAGCCCTGTCTCTGTGGGGCTCCCCACTCTGTGGGGCTCTTTCTCCTGAAGGAGGGGAGCACAGCCTCGGGGTTCCTTCTGTCTTTGGTGTCTGACTCAGCCCTCTCTTCTCCCCCCATACTTGACTTTCTCATCGGTCATCTGACATGGGTGTCAAAGATGGGGCTCTGTCCCCTCACTTCACAGATGGGGACCCTTGCTAGCTAGTGAGGTGACTTTCCTTGCAGACACCCAGTTTCCTTCTCCTTCCACAGTAGCTTCCATGGGCTTTTCCTCCCATACTTTGCTTAGTTTCAGGGCCCTGCCTGTGCCCAGACCAGAGGGGCGAGGACCAGCAAGGGGCCCACCTTCTGGGTCTCTGCCATACTGGTTCCTGCCCCCATGAACACAACCCAGGTGTCTCGCATCTGTTGTCCATGCTTACACTGCAGGCAGGATCTGAGGGTCAGATAAAGGTGAGGAGGGGTGGCCCTAAGGAAACTACCAAGGTCTAAAGCTGTTGTGCCATCAGCCCAGTATCTCCCTAACCACCCTCATCCAGACCGCTTCTGCCCTCTCCCATTCCCTATGATGGGGGGAAGGGGCCCTCGGGGTGGATTGTGTGTATAGGGGGTGTTTCTGATTCCTGGGAATGTCCCTGATGTTCTTGGTCACCCAGAAGTTGGGGAGCATCCTTACTCCAGCTCAATGTCCAGGTCTGTGTGTTCAGGAAAAGCGAACAAGTGCCAGGAAGGAGATTGCAGGGATTCTGGGGAGGGCATAAAAGCCCCTCAGAATAGGGGAGGGGAGGGCCTCAGAGCTTGTCCCAGAGGGCAGTGTTGGCGCTCACGGGATGGCAGGGCCCTAGTCGCTCTGGGAGGGCGACAGGTCTTGCTGTGAGGCTGGTGGCCACGTCTTAGGCCCTGTGGATCTTGCAGAGCATGTTCCCTCATGCTGTGGGAACCCTGGACCCCTGGATGAAGAGGAGTAGGATGTGCCCCTCCCATCCCTGGGGCTGACTTGGGCCCGCCAGGGGGAAGATGAGCAGCAAGAGGACAGGGAGGGAGATAGCTGGCCTGGGACTGGCGAGTAGGTGAGGCCAAGGAGGCCTGGCGGGGAGGGAGCCGCAGGGGCTGCAGAATTCTGCTCGCTGACCGACACCTGGCAGGGAGCCAGTTAGGGGCTATTTCCTTCACTACAGCTGGGCACCTGGATGCTCCAGGAGCTGCTAATTTGGACCTTGGGCTTGCTAGTGAGGAGCAGGCCCCCGATGCCCCCTTCCTCTTCCAAGACCAGCCCTGGAGAGCCTTGTGTTGCTGGGGATGTGGCTGTGGTCCCCGCAGTCAGTGCCAGGGAGCTGACGGCAGGAGGAAGCAGGGGCCATGAGGAGGACCTGCCTGGGGGGCGGGGGGGGGTGTGTGCTGCTGTGTCCAGACCCCACAGCAGGGACGGGTGCCCACTCCATTCACATCTGTAGGGAGAGGGGTATTGGCCCCAGAATCTGGAACCCAGATTCCCATTTGCTTGGTGATTCTGGCCAGGGAGCCTTCCCAGCCCGTGTCCCGCGTCTTTACCAGCACTGATGGAGGGGACGGATGTGCTGGGCCATCTCCAGGGCCAGGTCCACGGTGCCTCCGCCCGTGCCTTCTGACCTCCCTGGGCCACTCGACCCGTCCCGTCGCACTCTAGGGGAGTCTAACTCCCCTTGCAAATGCCTAAAAAAGCCTCTGCAGAAGGCTGGGGGTGGGGAGGTGGGCCCTGGAGGGCGGAAGGTGCTCCCTGGGCACCTGTATTCAGCCACATGCCTGCTGGGCAGCTCCCATCCTAGCAGGGCAGCATCCTCCTCGGGAGCTGCCTGGAAACCTGGGCACTGCAGCCCGCCAGCAGGGTCGGACACTGAGGGTGACAGGGTCACGCTGTCCCCAGGGCGTGTTGTGACTGACCAGGGGCAGCCCCCTTGTGGAGGCCTGGCTGAGCAATCCGGCCCAATGCAGACTGGGCTGGGAGACAGCCCGACTAGCCTTCGGGTCCCCTGTATGGCAGGGGTGCGAGGGGAGTGACTTTCCCGCACCCCTGCCCTGCTGCAAGGCCCTCACCCTATCCAGGGCAGCCTTCCAGCTCCCCTGCCTCTGGCCCCCCGCCTTGGCCGGCCGGCAGACTCCTTGCTGTCTCTTTCTCTCTTCTCTTTACTGCATTTGCCCCTGTGGGATTTGTCCCTTGGGATTTATACTGCATGTGCACCACACTCTTGCATGTGCACCGCAGGCACAGTGACACAGGCGTATCTCCAGAGGTCCTGCCCCTTGCACCCCGCTTCACCCTCCCCCCCAGGCATCTCTCACACACTCACTGAGCACTGATGTGGGCCTGTCCTTCCATGGACGTCCCCTCAGAGGGGGACGCACACTGGCTGAGAGCACAGAGGTAGCCGTGGGGCTGGTGCAGTGGGA